TCCAACTACAAAATGAGAACACTGACTTCAAAGCATTAAAAGGAACTCACCAAACTCCACACCCGAAAAACAAATAATCCAGTTAAGAAATGGGCAGAAGACATGAAGAGACACTTCTCCAAAGAGGACATCCAGATGGCCAACAGACACATGAAACGATGCTCAGCATCCCTCCTCATCAGGGAAATACAAATCAAAACCACACTGAAGATACTACCTCACAATGGTCAGAGTGGCTAAAATGAACAAATCAGGAGACTACAGATGCTGGCGAGGATGTGGGGAAACAGGCACCCTCCTACACTGGTTGGCGGGAATGTAAACTGGTGCAGCCCCTCTGGAAAACAGTGTGGAGGCTCCTCAAAAAATTAACAATAGAACTCCCCTATAACCCAGCAATAGCACTGCTAGGAATTTACCCAAGGGATACAGAAGTGCTGATGTATAGGAGCACATGTACCCTAATGTTCATAGCAGCACTCTCCACAATAGCCAAAACATGGAAAGAGCCTAAGTGTCCATCAATGGACGAATGGATCAAGAAGATGTGGTTTATCTATACCATGGAATACTACATGGCAATGAGAAACAATGAAATCTTGCCATGTGTAGCAACATGGATGGACCTTGAGGGTGTTATGCTGAGCGAAATGAGTCAGGCAGAGAAGGACAGATACCATATGTTTGCACGTATAGGTGGATTAGGAGGAACTTAACGGAGGGCCATGGGGAAGAAGAAGGGGAAAAATATTGGGGGAGAGGAAGGGAGGCAAACCATGAGAGACTCTTGAATGCTGAGAACAAACCGAAGGTTGATGGGGGTGGAGTGGGGAAAGGGAGTGATGGGCATGGGGGAGGGCACTTGTGGGGATGAGCACTGGGTGTTATATGGAAACCAACTTGACAATAAACTACTTAAGAAAAAATAAAGCATTATAAGTTAATTGAGGATTAGATATGTAAGGGAAGTACTGAATACAGTGTGTTACCCATTGTAAACACTCAATACATGGTAACTATTATTTGTGAATAATATATATTTTTTTAATTAGCAAGGTCTCAGGAGAAATAAGCATCCTACCTTCTGGGTTGCTGTTAGAATCTGTCCAGTGGAAGTACACGACAAAGGAAGGGGTTTAGGTTTTTCATTTTTATTTGTTTGCCTTATGAACTAAGGAGAGAGTTACAGGAGGAAGACCAGACAAAGTTGATGTCAAATGAATCTGGGAAGTAATTTGGAATTTGAATGGGTTTTTAAAACAAACATAGGTTAGTGATGCAGAAATACATGCCTGCAGCAATTGGAGATTAAGTTCCCTAAGAAAGAATGAAACATGCTCTTGGGCAGAAAACAGGAGTTCTGGCCTCCACTTCACCACTTAGATCTTAAAGCCCTGAGCAAGCCCCTTGGCTCAGAGCTGAGCCTGTAAACACAAAAGGTCACACACGGGAAAGGTGGCTCTTCCTTCTCCAGAACAGGAAATCTTGGCTTTGTTGTGAACAACTTCATTTTTTTTCTTTAAATGGTTGAGTTGTGAAGATCTTGTAATACATCTTTCCTTCTTCTCTCTAACCATTAAGGCGCTCAGAGTGAAAACTCTCTCCTCTCTCTAACAGCATACAACCTTATGGTATGCATTAGTGGGAAATGATGCCTGCGGAATGCTCTGTAAGCTCTAATTCATGAACCAGGCACAACCCCAGAATAGAGACGTGAAGAGGTGGGGAGCACTTCAATGAATACTGAATGGGATGGGGGCCCTCATATTGGAACCGAAGCTTCTGGATCAGTACAATCATTGCTAGAATTCAGCTCAGATTACAAAGCTCTCAAGAACCAAGGAGCTGGCAAAAAATATATATAATTAAATCAGAAAATTGTACTTTTCTTCGCTGTAAGAGAAATGGCTTTGCCATGAGGTGGCTCACACTTGCTGCAATGGTGGCCAGAACTGGGTAAGGGTAGGCCAGCCATCAGAACTAGAACTTCTGCAGAAGGGCCAGCGCGTCCACCCTCTGCGCAAAGCAGACCATGCCTGACCACGTTATTGGGCTAAGGCCTTTATCCCAAGTCCTTGCTGCTGGCTGCCCCTCCTTCTCACTGCCTTTCCTCTGTTTCAGATACCAGTCTCAAGCCAGCCTATTAAAAGCTAGTGGTGTAGGCAAAGTACCTTCTCTTCCTAGGACTCAGTTTCCCCGATAAAAATCAAAGAACTGAATTAAATCAGGGTTTTTAATCCTTTTTGTGCCGTAGATCTCTTAACTACCGAGAACAAACTGATGGTTATCAGAGGGGAGGTGGGTGGAAGGATAGGGGAAATAGGTGATAGGGATCAAGAAGTGCACTTGTGATGAGCACGGGGTGATGTATGAGAGTGTTGAATCACTATATTGTACACCTGAAACTAATATTACACTGTATGTTAACTGGAATTAAAGTTAAAACAATAACAATTAATCAGTTAATTTAATTAAGGGCTCAAATTAAAAAACAAACAAACCCTGGGCACCAAAAATACTCTGGTCTCCTCTCCATCAGGATGTAATTGAAAATACAAATAACAGGAAACCATTAAATAAATATAAGGAAGTGGAACCAAGTTCTATATTCTCTCATGACAATTATTTTTGCATTGTTTCTGAAATATCAAATATCAATTTCTAAAATGTTATTATAAAATAGCTCAGATGCCAAAAAATATGTATTTAAGAATTAAAGAAAGCAAAGTCATTTACTTAACCACTCAACTTAAAAAATAAAATATAACCAATACTGTTAAAACATACATATAATTTTTCAAAAAGCTCTGTTTTATTGCTGCTTAGAGTCAGTGGTTCTCAAGTTTTGCAGCACATTGGATTCACCGAAAGCTTTACAAATCCTCAGGCTCAGTCTCCACCCTAAACCAATGAATCAAAATCTCCTGTGAACATCAGTGTTTTAAAGATTCCTTAGGTCATTCCAATGTGCAGCCAAGGTTGAGAACTATTCCAGGAAGAGAGGCTGCTTCAGGGGATGGTGGGATGGGGCCCTGAAGATGGAGTGGAAATGGGCTCTGGCTTCTGTGCTCTACCTCAGGGGTCTGCACTTCCCCAGTGGACTTCAGTGGATCTAGATCTGAAACCACAGGCGCGCTCTCCTCTCATTTTTGGGAAGAGCCTGCCATCTGCTGGCCAACTTGAGGAAAATATGGTTGCTAAATGTGGCCTTGGGGAAGTAGGGCCGAGTGGCACTCAGGTTATAGAGTCCCCTCTCACTGGTGGTGCATGTACAGTTCTCCCACAGCAGCTCTGGGAGGGGGCAGGGCAGGGCGAATAGAGTCACTTTCAGCTTGCAGATGAGCAGCTCTGTGACCACAGCACTGGGATGGATGGGAGCAGGAGGGGCTCCCAGACTCTCTTCAGAGCCTAAGAAGAAAAAGGTAAGGGCAGAGGCCAAAGGAATAAACTGGGCAAAGGGATTTTTAAGAGAGAAAAGACGCTCACCTAAGAAAGGCCTTAGGAAGAGAAGCAATGGCTACCTGAAAACCGCAGGAAGGGAATATAAGGTGATGCATATGTGTCACTAACTCTGGGACTCAGTCTTTGTCCTCTGGTCCAAAGATTGCATCAGTTTGTCACAGTTCTTTCTCATGGGGATTTGTTTGCTGTTCTCTCTGCCTGAAACACTCATTCTTGCTCCAGCAAATGTTTGTTCAGTTTTCAGGTCTCAGTAAACCACAATCTTGTTTCTACCTTGGAAGCCTGCTCTGATTGTCACATCCCCTGCACCTTGTGCCTGCCTCCTGCCACTCAGTTCTGGAACCATCTGTTTACTGTTCACTATCATAAGATTCCAAATTCCATGTGGAAAGGGACATCATTAGACCCCTAGCACCTACCCCAGCACCAGAAACAGAGCAGGAAATATTTGTTTACTGAGTCAATTTTTTTTTAATGTTTATTTATTTTTGAGAAAGAGACAAAGTGTGAGCAGCAGAGGAGCAGAGAGAGAGGGAGATACAGAATCGAAAGCAGGCTCCAGGCTCTGAGGTGTCAGCACAGAACCCATGCAGGACTTGAACCCATGAACTGCAAGATCATGACCTGGGCTGAAGTCAGACGCTTGACCAATTGAGCCACCCAGGTGCCCCTACTGAGTCCATTTTTCTCATGGCAAAACCATACACTATAATCTGAAAACAAAACAAAAAAATACTTTGAAACATATTTTGCTCCCAACAATGAACTCCTCTTAGAGGTCAGTTGAAAATAATTACCTTTGCTATTGGAGGAGTGGGGAGACAAGTAATCTTATTTCCAGTTGGCATATGTCATAAACTAACCCTTTTTCTACCCATTTATGCTCTAATCAGTAAATAAACATGGTAGACAACTACGATTTTGGGTTTGCCCAGCTTCCATATTCATTTCTCCTTCGTGTAGTAAGAACACCCCAAATTTATTTTGGAGAAATAACCCCTTCCATTCTGAGTCCATTTGATTCAGAGCAGCCAACCCCATCCTCAGGTCAGGTGTGGGCAGGTGACTTGGGCCTGGTCAGTTACTGTACCTAATAGCCTAGCATGTGACTGGTTCAGGGATGAGCACATGGCCAAGTCAGCCCAGTGAAATTTAGCTGTGGAATGTTTACTGGAATCATCTGGGAAAAGAAGACCCAGGGTGCTAAGCTGGTAGGACACGAGGCTCGAGCTGCTGGCAGCCCCCCTACCACCATGAGGAAAGAGAAATTCAAAGAGTGAAGCCATAAAGTGAGAGCAGAGCAGAGAGAAGAAGAGGCAGGGTTCACAGGGGAGACATCTTTTAGTTACTGGCTCCCAGCCTAGATCTTTCTCTGGACCTTTCCATTACATTAACCAATGAAGTCCCTTTTCCAGAAGTCAATTTGAGGTAGTTCCTCTTCCCTGCAGCTGAACAGAGTGCTAGCTAACAAAAAGCAGAATAGACATGTAATTTTTTCTTTTCTTTTTTTTTTTTTTTTTTACAAAATCAATACAGCATTTGCAATACTTTTCACAGATCCAGAAACCCATAATAAGCTTTTACATTGTTATGAAATTACTCAACATATCAGTTAAAAAGAGGCACATGATGATTTGTTACATGGTCTCAAATGGTGTGTGTCGGGGGGGTGCGTTTCTCAGGTCTGGGGAGCCACAGAGCGGCCTATTCCAGGTTCTGCTCCCCTTGATCTTCTCTTCTGTCCCATTGCCAGCACCTCCTGAGCACATTTCAGCCCTTCTTTCAGGAGAACTAGCCATCTCTACACAAGGTCATAGACTTCAAGCCTCACAGCTGCACTTGCTGTACCATCAGCCTCCATGCAGTCACCGGTCCCCTTTAGCTCATTGAAAAATTGGCTGTGGCCAACAGGGAAGCAAACATAGACTCAGGCTTCTGCTGCAGTATCTCAGGCCTGTCGAACTCTACCACCTGGGAGAGTGAGAAAGGGGAGGAGGGGAAGGACACCACTGAGCTCAGCCTTGAAGGATCCGAAGGCCTCCTTGGGTGGCCTGAGCACCCATCCTCCCACTGCCCCAGGGACTCAGCTCTCACCTCCCCCTTGTTCATGACCAGGATGCGGTCACAGTTGAGCACAGTGGTGATGCGGTGTGCAATGACCAGCACAGTGCAGCCCTGGAAGACTTCACGGATCATGTGCTGGATCAGGGTATCGGTTTCCACATCAATGGAGGCTGTGGCTTCATCAATAAGGATGATCTGGTGGACACAAAACAGGGGTGACAGCAGCTTCCTCTGGCCCTGAGCTTTGGATCTAGACCTGGATCTATCACTAATCCACTGAGTCCCTTAGCTGGAAGATGAGAGATTTGGGTTGAGTTTAAAACCTACTCTACTCTGAGCGAAATAAGTCAGACAGAGAAGGACAAATATCATATGTTTGCACGTATAGGAGGATTAGGAGGAACTTGACGGAGGAACAAGGGGGAGAAGAAGGGTGTAAATGGTGGGGGTAATGGAGAGAGGCAAACCATGAGAGACTCTTGAATGCTGACAAAAACTGAGGACTGATGGATGTGGGGGGGAGGGGTGATGGGCATGGAGGAGGGCACTTTGGGGATGAGCACTGAGTGTTATGTGGAAACTAATTTGACAATAAACTATTTAAAAAAAAAAAAAACCCTACTCTGAGGGGCACCTGCGTGGCTCAGTCGGTTAAGCGTCCGACTTTGGTTCAGGTCATGATCTCACGGTTTATGTGTTCGAGCCCTGGGTCAGGCTCTGTGCTGGGAGCCTGCTTCAGATTCTGTGTCTCCCTCTCTCTCTGACCCTCCCCTGCTCACACTGTCTCTCCCTCTCTCAGAAATAAACAAAACATTAAAAAACATTTTTTAAAAAACCTACTTTTAGTTGTCCATTAGGTTAAAGACAATATTAGGTCTTGACCAAGAGCTTTATATATATATATAGATAGATATATAGATATACAGATATATCTCCAGAGAATTAAGTTCTTTCTTGAAAATGAAAATATCCCAGTCACAACTTCTTGTTTTATGAACTGCCTTCCTATTTGCCTGAATTAACATAGATCAACATTTCCCAAAGTAAGGTATAAACACACCTTTGGATGACACATAAGATGGTGTGGCTAGTACATGAATAAACATTCTCTTTAACATTTTTATTTTATGTTATTAACAATATGCATTAGAAAAATATAGCTAGCACAGAAATATGATTTCACAAATGTGACTGTTTAGAATGAGGCTGTTTTTTTGGATTTTTTTTAGAGAGAGAGTGCATGCAAGTGGGGGAGAGAGAAAGAGGGAAGGTGGGAGGGAGAGAAAGAGAGAGAGAGAAAGAGAGAGAGAGAATATTATAAGAAGATTCCCATGTAACACAGAGCTGGACACATGGCTCAGTCTCACAACTCTCAGATCATGACCTGAGCTGAAATCAAGAGTTAGGACACAACTGATTGAGCCACCCAGGAGCCCCTAGAATAAGGTTGTTTTTAAAAAGAGGGCATCAAAGTAAGTCAAAGGAGAGATTGTATGTAGATATGACAAAAGTCATAAAGTGATGACTCAAATTTGGGAAGCAATGTAGAGAAAGAAACTTTGGCACCAGTGGCCTGGTAACTGTAAAATAAGGAACTGAGTGGTTAAGAAAGTGCTACATGCATATTGCAAATCCTGTATTTCATCTCTGCTAGAAAGAGGGGGATAGTTCTCCTTCCTTCTCCCCAGCTTCCAACCTCACTGGAAGACTGCATTTGTTTTTTTAAATTTTATTTAAATTCTAGTTAGTAAACATACACTGTAATATTGATTTCAGGAGTAGAATTCAGTGATTCATCACTTTCATACAACACTCAGGGCTCATCATAACAAGTCCCCTTCTTAATACCTTATCCCCCATCTAGCCCATCCCCCACCCACATCCCTCCATCAGCCCTCAATTTATTCTCCATCATTAAGAGTCTCTTATTGGGGAGCCTGGGTGGCTCAGTCGGTTAAGCATCCGATTTTGGCTCAGGTCATGATCTCACGGTTCGTGGGTTCGGGCTCCACGTAGGCTCTGTGCTGACAGCTAGCTCGGAGCCTGGAACCTCCTTCAGATTCTGTGTCTCCCTCTCTCTCTGGTCCTCCCCTGCTCATGCTGTCTCTCTCTGTCTCTCAGAAATAAAACATTTTTTAAAAAAAGAGTCTCTTATTGTTTGTTTCCGTCTCTCTTTCCCCTTCCCATATATTCATCTGTTTTGTTTCTTAAGTTCCACATGAGTGAAGTCATATGGTATTTGTGTTTCTCTGATTGACTTACTTTACTTAGCATAATACACTCTAGCTCCATCTACATCATTGCAAATGGCAAGATTTCATTCTTTTTGATAGCTGAGTAATATTCCATTGTATATATATGCCAAATCTTCATCCATTCATCAGTTGATGGACATCTGGGCTCTTTCCATAGTTTGGGTATTGTAGATGAAGCTGCTATAAACATGGGGTACAAGAATGCCTTCAAATCTATATTTTTGTGTCCTTTGTGTATATGTGTACATATGAGTACCTGTGTGTGGCCTCATTTGAGAAAATTTGCTCCTGACTAGCACAGGTAGTTTCCTCAAAAAGTTAAAAATAGAACTAGCCTATGATCCATCAATTGCACTACTAAGTATTTATCCAAAGGATATGGGAATGCTGATTACATTACACACACACACACACACACACACACACACTGGAATATTACTCATCCATCAAAAAGAGGGGCACCTGGGTGGCTTAGTCGGTTAAGCGTCCGACTTTCGCTTGGGTCATGATCTCGCGGTTCGTGGGTTCGAGCCCCGCGTCGGGCTCTGTGCTGACTGCCAGCTCAGAGCCTGGAGCCTATTTCAGAGTCTGTATCTCCCTCTCTCTCTGACCCTCCCCTGCTCATGCTGTCTCTCTCT